AAAACAATCCGATACGGTTCAGTATCGTTGGGGTTAGTAAAGTTCTCGGAAACTCTGGAAAAAGTCTGAGATTAATCCCCTTAAAAAACAGGCATATAAGAAAAAGAGCCAACGAAGTAGAAAAGGGAAAAATAGAAGTTTTCTTCAAAACGCGGCGCCAAAGAGCAGCTACAAATACTCAGTCAAGACATAGATAATCGAGTAAATGAGAAAATTGAGAATCCTAAAATAAGGTTCTTAAAATAATTTACTTTGAAGCTTTTGTAAATAGTAACGAGTTAAAGGTCCTGTAAAAATTTTCATCACAATATAATGAATACCTCCCATGTGAACGACTTCCAAACCCATTCCGGCACACACGCTTAGCACAGAAAAAATCTCATCAAAAAACACCTAAGGGATGATTTAGGGAGTCCTAACTTAACCACTAAAGCACGGAATTCTGGAACATTCCGGAAACGGAGTGGACGGTGTCGAGGCGACAAGACACACTGGCAGGTTCCCACCCATACCCCTTGGCCACCCCCGTGTGCGCGCCAAACTCATCGATCGTTGCTTTTTTTGACTCGAAAAATCAATAAATCTTATACAAAAGTAGTTGTGTTCAACCATGTAGGTCTCATAGATCTACTGGTTAGAATTTGACCCCTCAGAGAACTGGACCTGCTAAAATGACAACAGACAGCCGAGGGCTGCATCTGCAGGTTCGCCATGGCGTTTCTCACCAGGCTTCTTCAGGAAGCCCTTTCGACGTGGCTCAATTTCTAGCGAGTTCACTCGAAAATAAACTGGCACCCCACATCCACCCGATTCAATCTATCTGCTCTTCTGGCTGTTGTTTGATTTGATGGATTGTCATTCTTCAAGAGAGTACCGTACAAGGGAAACAAAGTCTTGGCGCTAATATACGGGGGCATCCCTTGGACCTAATACTAGAAGACGGCAGGACTCGGGGAAAATGAAAATGCTCACGCATTTTGGATTCCCTCGTCACCTGCGTAAAAGTTGGTAACGTTTTTATCAAAAAAGACATGTTTTACGCGGTTTCAAATACATTGTCATCACTATGCCCCCTATACTGCGATAGCGCCTCATCCTTCTTTGCAACAATTAGCCCAATTTCAACGAGACGGGAAATCAACTCTCTGACCGACTCTTATTGTTAATTCCACAGCACTCTCCGACAGTGAGATCGGGGTTTCTTTTCCACAGTTTGCTTCGCCAAGTGCGAGGTTACGCAAAACAAGACATATTCGGATCTACATATCTTCGGAAGTTTTGCCATAAACAGGAGCCTCCTGGAAGCGCTCGAAAAAGGACGCCCTGTCAGGAAGTCAAGACACAGTTGATCTCACATTTGCGAACGAGACTACTGACACATTTCCCCGCAGTGCGTTCAACCAGAGTTATAAGCGTGTGTGACGTGCAAACAATGCCTTTAATAGGCCGTCCACCCTACTTCTTTGCACGAAATCAAAAAAGCAGTGAATCACGTCTTGTTTCAAGGCTTTCTTACTTCCCACGCAAATAGTTGAAGTGACCATCCGCACATCTGAATGAATTTTTTCTACACCACGTGAAGGACGAAAAAAGAAACCTTTATTATCTTCATACACTGAATCAGTAAGGACAATAGTCTATTTTAAAAAATCTAGGAGTTCAGAACATGTTCGTAACAATGAACAGGAACTGATTTTTCATGCATATCAAGTAAATAAAATGAAATCATAGAATCAATGCATACTAAAATACTCTATCTAAAAACACTCTACTGAACCATACAACATAAGTGATACAGGACCCATACTCATGAGTGAAGCTTTCACAGAGGCAGATCGAAGATCCGAATGTACCGAGGAAACCCATAAACTCATAAAATACAGAAACATCAGCAGAAAAAAAATAACCAGCTTCGAAGAAATCAATGCCGGACACAGCAGATGTAACGTACTTCGATTCAAAACATGTTAAAAGTTACCCAGTTAGCAAGACACAGATGTATGGAGCATATCGGAAAAGATGAACACATAAAACTAATGGAGAAGAACTAACTTACTAATTTATGCGTTAGAGGGATGCTGAATAAAAATTATTACCGAGATGCAAGAACACGTAAAAGTCGTGACTACTTCCTTTTTAAATGAAAGGTCTCTAGAAACGAGTGTTTCTGAGGTTTTAGACAAATTATCTAATAAATATTTTGACTGACTCAGTTACCAAAACATTCGACCGAAATGTCGTGGTAACAAATAGGGGGTATATTTTGCTTATTTCTCATGAAAACACGGTTTTTAGAGCTCCATAACATGAAAAATGCATATATCACGACTAGAACAAACAAACTCAATAAACTATTTTGAACGACGATTGTCTACGAGATCAACTCCAGGATAAATATTCGCTAAACGACGGCGATTCGAACCAGGTGAAGCACGTAGACTGCAACAAGTAAGTAGAAACAGTTGTCACAGAACACTAATGGCAGAAGGGAGACGTGCGTTTCTCCTCCTGGGGTCAGGTCACCACAGTTGCGCGATCATTGAAGCTTAAGGTTAAGTTTGGGTTTAGACTTAGGTTAAGGCTTATGCTTACACATTGGCTTATGCCTAAGCCTATGATTGGGCCTAGGCTTAGTCCTAAGCTTGCTCCGAGCGAATGAACGGCGTCTCAATTTTAGGTGACCTGACCCCAGGAGGAGAAACGCTACGCACCCACCAAAGCTCACCTTTGAATTGGAAAGTTCACGTCATCGACGGCCTGCGTGGATCCTTCCGAAATCAGCGGTGAAGACTCCATTGGCGCTGTAGGGACTTCTGTCTCTAGATTCTAGAACAGCTTCCGAATTAACACGGTATCCTGAAAAAAAAATCGTTACTTACTCCAACGCTGAGAGCACGTGTACGGGGCATGGGTTGAGCGGGAGCGTGTTGCTTATTGTTGTTGACTGGACTGCGCTGAGGATCTCCTGCAGCTTCAAGACGTTTGGAGAAGCCCATCTTCCGCACCTGAACACCAGTAAAGAAGTGCCGATTTCTCAATACTGCCTTGTTACAAAAATCTAAAAATATTTCATTTTTTTATTTATTTAAAAAATGAAGCGCACAGTCTCAGGCATGTTGTTGTAGTCAGGCCAATACAAGGAATCCTTCTTCTTAGTTGAGCAATCGTTTGAGGATGGCGAAGCAGTACCAGCGATTCTGAAATGATGCACACAGTTACGGCATCGCATATTTAATCTTCAGAGAGTAGCCTCAGCATTGCCGACAGCTGGACACAGCACTTCCTTTACCATTCATTTACTGTATGACTACTGTATCGGAAGACTATTTTCGAAGTAAAGCGATACGAAGGTGTTCCCCACGCATGCAATAATGGAAATAGGTTGAGATAGATCCCAAAGACACACTCGACCTGTCTGACCTATCTTTTCAGTTTAGCAACTCACTCGTCTCGGTTATTTCATTTTATTATCTCACCCGAAGGTATGTGGAAATTATTTCGTGGTGTTTGTTGCTGAACTGTAACAACACTGACTTTCATGTAATTTTGCAAGACTCCCGATACGGTAGGTAGGTATGATAGTGTAAATGCTGTATGCGCCCAGCCATCCTTATTCAAAAAAATCTGATTAAAAGGTGCGGGGCATCCATTTATGGTCCGCGTCACGGCGACCGCATCATACGAGCTATGACCGCGGCTTATTGTGCATGGCTTCCCCACTTTCTTCACGATTTGGGGCGCGGCTGCGGCGAGTGCGGACGAGTCCACAGTGCCCGCGAACTGTGGTGGTGGAGCGTTTTCAAATTTACCCGCACAGTTCGCGGGCACTATCGACTCGGCCGCGCCCCAAATCGTGAAGGAAGTGTGGGAGCCATCGTGGGCTCATCGTGCTGGTGACAATTCACAAGTATTCAACCACACTCTGTCAGGTAAATTGATCATGAATCTTCAGTTACTGCTTGTCATTCATTCAGCACTCATAAATAAACATGCATCACTAGAAACGAAACTCACTTGAAACTTGGCTGCACAGTTATCTTCCATAGCTGGTGTGCAATATCATGGGTAACAAGACCACCTACATTTCCATTGATGAACGAGAGCAAAAGGACCCCATCACATCTATAAAACTAAGAATACGCATGCAAACACGAAGAAGTGAATAGAGTCGAACTGTTTCTAAATATTCGACCTTAAAATTTTGTGGATAAAGTAGTCCACAAGAGCACGGCTAGTGACAGGTGTAGGTCGAACACCATGTTCCGCCAAAGCATTCGAAAACAGCACATCTTGTGTCTGAAGCGATAGTCCTTGAAACCTCTCATTAAGATTAAACCTAGCGCGAATTTCTCATCCAATAAGCAGGTTACGGATTGAAAACAGCTTCATTGAAATTGAAAAAAAAACGTTCTGAAACTTTTCGAATAAACTATCCTTATAAGGGAAACCTGTGCTTAAACTATAAACCATGGATGAAAGAGTTCATATGAGCACCAGTTTTTTACATAGTCTACTTTCAGATTATGCACCTGTCTTTAGTTAACTCACAAAAATACAAAAGCTTACCGGCAAAAAGTTGTCAGCAAGAAGTGATCGATACACTGGAAAAATGAGAGCCACCGTCTGCCTGATGGCGGACAAGGTAGACGCCATCGTTACAAAGACGATCCAAAACCACAGGAACGTGTAGATTTTTTCATTGATGAAATTCAACATCAACACACACTGCATATTCACTTGGTGCAAATTGGCAAGTGCCTGGAAAAAGTTATATTTCCGTCTGCAAAAATTCATTCTTGGAAAATTCACTCACAAATTTGGTGACGTCACACAGCACAATTCTCGGGAATATCCCAGCATTTGGATTATCTGTCCCATTTAGCACAGTGTGGAGCAGCTATAACATATTTTTCACAGGTTCTCTTACCAAACACTTAACACCAACATCCCAAACATCTACGAAACCCACATGAATTCCCCATAGGTAGTCACCTTCACCAACGAAACATGCGAGCATGTAGAGCTGTCCGAAACCATTGATAACTTCAAGCCACTTAGTTATCACATAACAAATGGAGGCTAGCGATGAACCAAACACCGATCTTAACATTTAAAATAAGAACGTAAATAGCATATTTGCAGTCAGAATAATGTGGTGGCCACTAAAAATACTGTGTTCAGTTAGCAGGAGCTGAAAAACATTAAAATACCTTCGACGCTTCGATTCCAAGACGTCACGGATGAAGTTAGCAAGGTTGTTGAGAGCAGATGCGCGGTCCTCACCAACTAGAGTTCGGAGCTTTTGAGCCTCAATAATGGCTGTTTCCAAATCAACCCCTAAAGCAAGGTTCTGTAGATGTAGCTATTTCTTGCACATTCATCATGACTGGGCAACTGGAAATGCCGAAAGTACTATCAAAACAAACTATCATTTAATGAGGCACTATGCGCTACTCAGTGTGGAAGTCATACAGGTGCTCCACAAAGAGAGACACATAACCCTAGAACTTTCATTCAACTCTGCCCCTCGCTGAAGATATACACTGCTGCGGAGCTATTTGACAGAGACCTAGACCCAATTCCGTCTGCGCTCCATTGGTCCATCACATAATATAGAACATACCCATACTATAGTGTAATTATTCATGATACATTTTACACACGCTCGCACTAAATCATTGAGCTCACCGTGACACCAATGTGAGCCGACAAGCTTCCAGAACAATTTGGGAACCAGGAAGAAGACAGCTTGTAGAAATAACACGTATGGCACCCACTGAAATCATCGATCGAGTAATATGCAACATAGACTTGATCACGTACAAAACAAGGAATCCAAATCATATCAGGGGGAAACTTTATTCATTGAGATTTCTTCAGAAACTCGCCAAACACCTTCCACTAAGCGTGCGAGCCATTAAACTAAAAGTCGAACCTTTGCGCCGAAAACTGTTGCAGCGTAAATAAATATTTACTCCCACCCCTCCCTCTCACTCACCAAAAAACAATAATTTAAAGCGGTTGAATCCTCTCTCAGGTTCCAAGCAATATTGCATTCAATAACTGAGCTCTGCGGTCGCCAAAAACAAACGACTACTATCCAAATGGTTTGCGCAGACATTCAGTCCGTCGCACAACCGGTAGCCCGTATAATTACCTGATAATACATCACACGAGGAGACCAATACTTAGTCGCGTCTTCTTTGGTAAATCGTCCAATCGGTGTATAGTCAGCTCCTGCTCTTAAAAACAGAGTTTATACAACTTTTTATTTACTTTGTCCCAATAGATAGAGAATCGCATCGCGAGTAAGACTTATTACAATTATACGCCTGATTTGAAACAAGGACTGAAATAGAAACAGGGCTCAATCTTTCTATCGATTCGCTATGCTGATAAACGGGCACAACTGCTTCAATAATGCACACGACCACCCAACGGACACGTGGTCCATCATGAAATATCACCCTTGGAGACAGATTCCGTAGCGATGTCATACCGCGATGACAATCGTTTTTCTACCTTCTCTCAGAAGTATAACCGTCCCTGCCCTCAGGTACGCTGTAGTAAGACCTTGCTGCGACATGTTGTGTGATTAGCAAATCATCAAAGTGAATAGAGTGAGAAAGCTGTAAAACTGCAAGCAGACTGGGTTTTTTATTACGCAAACGTAATCATTAAGCCACTGACCACTGTCCCCAAATTGGGCACCCCCACTTTCTTCACGATTTGTGGCGCGGCCGCGGCAAACCCGCGACGTTCGCGGCCGAGTAGTGCGGCATCAGCTTGCCTGAGTATTCGACTCCCACCAGAGCGATACTAACCTTGGCGAGCCGGCGGCGAACGCGCGATGTTGAATAGATGCCCGCGACACTCAGCGGAGCGCATTCGCGGCACCTCGAGTGCGTTTCAACTGGTCGCCGGAATAACTCGCCCGATCCCGTGATACGGTGCCCGCGAACCGTTGAAAACGCACTCGAGGTGCCCGCGAACTGTGCTGTGCTGAGTTCGCGGGCACCTATCAACTCGGCCGCGTTCGCCGCGGCCGCGCCCAAATGGTTAGGTATTGTCTGGGAGCCGAGTTTCGATTCGTTACAGCTTACGTGTCATTACGATCGGATGAAGTAACACGTAATGTAACGTCGCATACTCAGGCAAGCTGATGCCGCACTACTCGGCCGCAAACGCTGCGGTTTTGCCGCGGCCGCGCCCCAAATCGTGAACCAGAAAGCTAACAGGAGAGCGCCAAATTGCTCTGAAAGCACTAGAGTCAGTTCGAGCGCATTATCTTCTTCCAAAAACTCGAAAAGCCATCAGTGTAATAAGCGCAAAACTCGTTATCTAGCCATTCAACACGTAGGCTGTACCCAGTAAAGGCAATGTTTTCAATTCCCAGCTATGTAACAACAAAACTGCAGACTATAACTGTATCCAGCGGTGGGTACCTATGAGGAGAATTGCTGGGTTATCTGTATTGAAAAATTAAACAAATCAAACCAAACCTCTGTTTAGTTTCATACTCATATGCGAGTGATTTGTCCACATTCATGTCGAAAATTCTCAACTTGTCTTGGATATAACAGTAGTCATGATAGTAGTGTACCCATGAGTCTACAAAAGCATCCATTAGGCAGCGTTTAATAGTTCGCGACTGGAGAGATTAGATAGTAAGCGACAGGATATTAGGGTAGCAGTGAGTAGCACATTGCACTGACAAGATTGGGTGGCACTCTTTCACTATCCCAAAATTTCAGTTTTATTTTTTTTCGAAACTTTGCCAATATGTAATTCGGGTGCCATTGATTACGAGTATGTATTCTTATTTTTGATCGCTGGCGCCATTTGCGCTAATGCGCCATTTGTCACGAACGGCTGTTTTCACCGAATTCGGTGTAAACTTGTATGTAGGGTTTATTTGGTGTCTTGATTACGAATATGACATTTATTCTGGCGTTGGCGCCATTTGGCATCTCTTTTCTGCTTGTCTGCGGCCTTTCACTGGAATGATCGCCATTAGGGCAAAGCATTTGGGAAAAGGCTCATAGGTGAGCAAGGCACACACCCTGTGATCTCAGCACACTTCATCTGTTGCCTTGCGATGCATAATTTATCCAACGTGGTGACCCTTTCTTCTTCTCTCCCTAGCGTTAGTCCCGCGCAGTCGCAGGGTCCGCTGTCTTTATCAGTCGTCGCCACTTCGCTCTGTCTAGGGCATCTTCTGCTGTGGCCGTGATTTCACTTAGGTCCTTCTTGATCACGTCCTTCCACCTCTTCTTTGGGGCTCCTCGCGGTCGCTTGCCTTCGAAGTCCATTGCTTTCCTTATCGGGTGGTCCTGTGGCCTCCTTAGCACGTGCCCATACCATCGCAGTCGTTGTTCCCTCACCTTCAGTATTGGTCCAGTACCCCTCCTTCGTGTCTATCCTCACAGCCATGATCCGATCGCTGATCCTGTTCACAGCGGAGACATAGTCCTTGAGCGACTCCGCTACCGCTATGGCCACACCGTTCCGCTTGGTGTCTTCTCCATTGTAGTAGAGTTTGACACCTTCCCCGATTTCCCTGGCCTTAGCACCTTTCCATCGCGTCTCCTGAAGGCATAGGACTTGGATATTCCTGCGCGTCATCAGATCAGCAACCTCTCGGGACTTCCCAGTTAGCGATCCTACGTTCAGAGTCCCAATTCGAACTAGCTTCTTTGGCCGAGGCCGTTCACTCCTCGGTAGCCCTCGCATACTGACCACAGAACTCGGGCGGGGGTTCTGCGCGCCACTTCCGGGTGACGTCCTAGCTTTATCACTGATTCTTTTGCAACTTTTAGACATGTTACTGGGGTATTCATCAGCCGGCCTGTCAACCTGGGCCTGACGCTGGTACTAGAACCATTTTTGCAATTTTTGCAAGGCATGGTTTAAGCCTCGGCAGGGATCGAACTCGCGGTTTTTCAGAGGTGCAGACATGAGTCTAACCTCTTAACCACTCGGCTATCCCTGCCCTAACGCGGCGACCCCATTCCAAGAGATTTACCCTTAGGAGCTGTACATTAGTGAGCTCAGGAGAGCAGAAAATATGCGCTAGACAGCGACCACTCAAAAACGAATGTCATATTCGTAATCAGGACACCAATAACCCCTATACACAAGTTTACAGCGAATTTGGTGAAAACAGCCGTCGTGACAAATGGCGCCAATTGGCGCCAAATGGCGCCAGCGTCAAAAATGAAATCATATTCGTATCAGGGCATCGAATTACCCCTATAGGCAAAGTTTCGACGAAAAATCTGAATTTTGAGATTTTGGGGTAGTAACAGTGCAAATCGCTGGAGAAAAATAGAATAGGCGTCTTCAAGCGAATCGATCAAAGTTTATCTGATCTTGTCAGCGCACTATCCCAATCTACTACTATCCTAACCACTTACTACGTATAAATATCGTAATCTACTACTCTCCGGCGATTTCAATCGACGTATCTCACTTGTCAGCGGATTACCCTACTCTACTACTATCCTAATCTTTCTGTCAGGACATAGACATCGGCCACTGGAATAATTTCGAGGATGGATTTTCCAGCCGGTGCCTCGTCGAAAAAAAGTTCGGAAAAAAATGTGAAAAGCTAAATCCTGCGGGAATCTAAAACCGATTTTCAATTCAACTGAGCTATAATGTTGGCTTGACTATTAAGTGTACTTCAAGAAGAAACCCTCTGTGAAAGAAAAATAGGGAGAGTGATTACAGTAGGTTGTGCAACAATATTATTCGAATCCAGCGATTAACGGGCCGCTCCCAAAATTACAATCCTAAAACTCAAAGACTCTTTTTCCATGAATGGGTGTTCCGGAAAGAAATATGATGCAATTTGCCACTGAAATTCACATTCAAACTCCCGCAATTATCGATCGATGGCACCTCCTACTTCCGGTCACTTCACTTCCGGTCTGCAGTCTGTCACATTCAGCCGCATTTTCATGTTGACGTCTTGATGAACATCCTGTTTTGCTTCCTTTGATTTCTTATCCATATCTCTAAGTTTAATTTTCACTATCAAAGTTATTTTGGTGTGTTGTAGCGAATCCTCCGGTCATATCGACTGGTCATTATTCTGATTTCGGTTGCTTCTATACGCAACTTTTTTCGTTGAAGGCAAGTCTTCTTTAGTTCACACGTCATGGCTAAAGTTTTGTGTCTCCAGTGGACCTTTTCGTTCATATTAAAAAATTTAATGTTGGTTTCCCGTCTAGGGTAGATCACCTGCATGTTGCTAGCACTTTCCATTTGACTGTCCACTTGAGATCGTTCATTTTCCTAAACGGTACCCAATCCCTGCTTAAACTGAAAACAGTCATTGCTGAAATACTGTTTTATAGGTCGTCACTGTAAGTGTTAACCTCGATGTTGAGTCTTCCCAGTATATTCGACATCTTGTCGAAAGTCGACAATCATCCAGCTGAGGACTTCATTGATCGGCTAAATTTTGGAGCTACCGTATATTTACTGGCGTTCTTCGTATTAATAACTGGCTCCAAGCAACATTTTGGTAATCCGATTCAATGTATGGCACCTCCAGAGAGTCCAGGTACAAGCGGAGATAACTCTGCAATCCTTTTTTTGCCCATTGTGAGCTCAATAACTTCGGCCGATGTCAGACTTTGCGAATTGCGCTAGCGTCGCGGTCGCGTTGCGGTACCAGCCAATTGAGTGATTCACTGGCCGCGACGCGACCGCAGACGCTAGCGAATCGCGCGATTCGCAAAGTCTGACATCGGCCTTACCAAAAGCTCAGGGTCGCGTTTACAATGTAAAATCTATGGAATC